TTACAACTAAGATGGGGGGAGCCAAATGTTTATCCAGTGGAATAGTTTTATCAGGAATGAATATGAAAAGGTCCTTCATCCTTCACATAGCAACACACAACTACTATCACTGTGCATGCTTTTAAATTCAATCCTATGAAACGTGTGAATAGCACTTCCTCTATCATCCATGTCATGGATAGTTTAGTACATTGGATGCTATTCCTCCATTGCTCTGCTTTTCCTTGTGTGTGTACAAGTATGGATATAGACGATCAACTTTTTTTTTGCAATCAACAATTTTAATTAAATAATAGTTGATAGTTCAATCTTCATCATAAATACAGATGCTTTAAGATTTATTAAAGCATGGTATTAAACACTTCAATATTTAAAATTTACTATGCAATATTGTATTTTCTTGTATTATGATTGCACTAAAAATCTGAATGAATATTTAAAATTATGATGGAAATTGAAGTAAATACAAATACTTAGATTCATTTTCAATGAGTGTTTTATGTGTATTTATCTATTAACTAATCTGGTAAAGTTCTCATGGAAATATATTTTTTCAAATTTCACTTTTATTACATGATTTTAATAGTCATTGTAGATAATTATTTATAATGTTTTCTTTAACTTCTACTAAATTAAGGAAAAAAACAACTTACTGGTTATGACGGTCAACATTTTTGACAAGTCTGTCTTAATGCTTCAGTGTAGTGATAACTATCTTAACCAACAGTCCCCCAAATGAAGTTTAACTGTGATTTGTATTACAAGCCACCTGACAGAAATGATCGAATGGAAGCCCAGGTCTGAATCAAACCTCTAAATGAAAATTTGGCAGTGCAGGCTAGAAAGATGACTCACCAGCTGAGAGTAGTACTAGTTTCTTTTGCAGAGGACTCAGATTTCCATACCCAGCACCCACATAGTGGCTCACAACCACCCATAGCTCCAATTCCGGGGAATCCAACACCCTATTTTAATATTTGCAGGTACTATTCACACATGTAAAGTATATCCATACATGCAGATAAAACACTCACACACATAAAATAAAATAATTCTAAAATAACTTTTGAGTTGGCAGTGAAATGGCTAGTCTTTGAATCCTATAAACTAAACTCTACATAGGAATTTCACAACTTGCCTTACTGAAAGCACAAGTCATGTGTTGCACTGGACAGGGTGCTGTGGAAGTGTATTCAGGTACACTTCCACATGTGAGTACTGCTGCAAAGGGAGTTGGGGATCAGGAAAGAAGGTACGGTTTTCTTAGCTTCCCAAAAGCTATGAAACAGTAGCATAACTTCAGATGTGAACTACCAAGAGTGCCTGCATGCCTCACTTCTATGAGGAAGCTGAACAGTGGCATCATCCAAATCCAAAGTAAAATAGTGCCCTGGAGACTTCAGCAGGGGTAGGTCCATGGATGTAATATTCCAGACCCAATAGGAGGAACAGTTTCTAGCATCCCATTGCACCGTTTGTACAGTAGGGCAACTGTTGGTAACAATACATTGCATATTTCAAAATCACTAGAAAAGATTTTTTAACATTCTTAACACACATAAAAAATATTTGAGATGAGAACTGGCTTAGCAGGAAGAAACACTGTGGCCAAGCCTGATAAACCAAGTTTCAGCCTTAGTCCCACAAGGTGGCAGCAAGGAACCAACTCCCAAAATTCTGCGTCACCCTCTCTTGGTACGGTTTGCGCGCCTCCGTACCAATCACGAGTTTGGGCAAAGGCCTGGAGATTGAAATAAAAGACACACACACAAGAGACCTGGGTCATTCGAGAAGAGATCACCAAATGCCACTTTATTTAGCTGAATGCAAGGCTAATATACCTTGGCCCCAGTAAGGGAACTCTCTCCCAACCAGAGGGGAAACTGGTGTTGTATGGGACCTGGCGCCATAGGGAATTCCTTCCCAGGCAGGGGGTGGAGAGCAGGACAGCAGGGAGAGAGAGACCTTGGTGCTGTGTAATTCTCCAGGGCAGGTGGGAAATTATCATACCAAAGGTGGACTGTGCCCTGCAGCTAAATCACCAGGCTATGGCAGGGATAACAGAAACTAGCAGGAAGCTTTAGCTGGCTGACCAGAACTGTCCTCAGAGTTGCACCCCAGGGAGTAAGGGGAGACAGGGCCCAACACAAACACAAATGGTGGCAGGTGCATTTGCACACATGCACATGAAATTAATAAACATTTAAAATTATTTGAAGTGGTGAATATGGTCAGTACCCTGATTTGACCTTACCGCTGCATATACATGTCTCAAAATATCACACTCTGCCTTATAAATCTATATACTATCATATGGCACTTGAAAAAAAATCAGCTGGGTTGTGGTGGTGAACACCTTTAATCCCAGCACTTGGGAGGGAGAGGCAGACAGATCTGTGAGTGTCAGGCTAGCATGGTCTACAGCACAAAGTCCAGAACACCCAGGGTTACACAAAGAAACATTGTCTCCAAAAACAGAAAAAAGAAAGGAAGAAAGGGAGGGGAAGGGGGGGGGAAGAAAAGAGCTTAAAATTATTATTAAGCATGACTGCGTTTCTTCAGCAATTAGTACTGAAAAAAGCATATGGGTTACAGAAAAATACCGATATGGAGCATTTTAAATAGACTCTACCATCTATCATGTTTGAAAGCGAAAGCTTTGAACTGGAGAGATGGCTCCAAGGTTAACAGCACTGTCTGTTTATTCTTGCAGTAGACAAGGACCCATGTTCATTTCCCAGCACCCACATGGCAACTCACAACTGTCTGTAACTCCAGGTCCAGGGGATCCAGCACTCTCACATAGATATACCTGCAAGCAAAACACAAATGTACACAAAATAAAAATAACCAAATCATTAAAAAATAAAATAATAAAAATGAAAGCTTTGTTGGGAAGGACTTATGATTTTAGTTTGATAGTCAATAGTTTAAATATCACTTTTGGTAGCCAGCATAAGTACTGGAATAACAGAACTGATTCAAAGGAAAATGGTTGGAAGTAAGGAAGTCTAGTTCAATAGTGGAATGCTTGATTAGCATATATGGGGTCCTGTGTTCCATCCCCAACACTGGGGGAATGGTGCGGGAGAATTATCTGTATTCTGTCAATCATGTCTTTTAATAAAACACTGATTGGCCAGGCAGGAAGTATAGGTGGGTCAAGCAGACAGGAAGTGGAGGCAGGGCGATGAGAACAGGAATATTCTGGGAAGCAGGAAGCTCCCTCCACCATTCCTGTGCAGACCACCGAAGAGGCAACATGTGAGATGCCACACTGAGAAAGGTACCGAGCCGTGTGGGTAACATAGATAAGGATAATGGGGTAACATAAGTTAAAAGAGGTAATAAGTAGCCTGACCTAATGGGCCAATCAGTTTATAACCTAATGTAGACTCTGTGAGATTTTCTTTGGGAGTTGCCGGTTGTGGGGTACTGGGTGGGACAGATACACCAACAAGCCAGCCCCTCTTACTACAGATGGTGCCCACGTGGATAACTACATCCACAGAAAGCCTGAGAAAGTTTGGGAAAGAATAGAGTAAAGCATGTTTTGTTGGTAGCAGCAATTTCTTGGGTCTGCTCTGCTTGCTAGAGGCAAGCAAGTGCTCTCATCTAAGAGAGGCTTCCTGACTCAGCTTTAGCTGCAAAACCCTGCAGCTCTTTAAAGAGGTCCTGCCATGAAACACTTAAATAGTGTTGATGAAAAGCTGAATGCTTGCTTTTCGGTTTTCAGCCATAGCAGGAAAAAAGCTGTGCTGTTTTAAAATGCCGGCTTTCTGGACTGTCCTGCCAGGGCAAACTCTGACTCTTTCAGGCCGACAGTCTGTCTGTGAGCAGAATGTTGCAGCTTGCTTGCTGGCAGGGACCTTGAAATGCCATAGAGTTGTGGCAATAAAAATGACTACAGCTAGTACATCAGCCACGAGGCTGGAAAGCTAAGGAATGGGCTGGATCTAGCCGTGAAAGTCATGGCTTTAATCCTCTCCTTAAAGAGGTCACACATGTGACCACACATGTGGTCAGAAAAAGAGAGACATACAATAAAGAGAGATTCAAAGACAAAACCTCTTAATGGTTTACAGTGTGTTAAAATATGTGCAGGCTAAAGGTTAAAGTTCTTAGGGTAAAAAAAGGAAGAAAGAAAGTAATTGGGTGTGATGGTACACACCTTTAATCCCAACACTTGGGAGGTTGAGGTAGGTTGACCTCTGTGAGTTCAAGGTGTGGTAGCACATGCCTTTAATCCCAATGCCTGGGAGGCAGAGACAGACAGATCTCTGAGTTCAAGTTGTGGTAGCACACACCTTTAATCCGAGGACTGGGAAGGCAGAGGCAAGTGGATCTCTGTGAGTTCAAGGACAGCCTGTTCTACAGAGTTATTTCAGGACAAAGATAGATACAGAGAACCTGTCTCAAAAAGCCAAAAGCTAAAAGTAAAAATAAAAGAAATAGAGGTTAAAGTAAAGCCACATAAAGATGGAAAATAAACAGAGAATCTTGATACTGTATGCTATTATGCTCTCTTTGAATTGTTTGAATGCTGAGAAAGGAGCATGGTGACAAATTGCTTGAGGTTCTACTTACCTAGCAGGCTTACTCAGGGGATAGCTTAAGCCCAGGCAAGTGTGGGACCCTTTCCTCCCTGATCCTTGAGACCAAAATACTGGATGCAAATAATGTTTATGCTAACCAGTTAAGCTTCCTGCTAGTTCTGTCCTTGGTTCTGCTACAGCCTGGTACATTAGCCTGAGGGATCTATTTTACTTTAAAATGGTAATTTCTCAACCTGCCTCAAAGAAGCTCAGGCACCAAGGCCCATCTAACCTGTCTGACATTGCCTTGAACCCTTGACCACCTGCCTGGGGAAAAACTCCCACAGAGGCCAGTTTCCCCAGCCCCCTCTGGGTGGGAGGAGTTTTCCTTTACTGGGGCCAAAGGTATTTTAACCCTGGATTTAGTTGAATAAAGGGGCATTCTCTTCTTGAGGATGACTGGAACTCTGTATCTGTGTGTGTGCGTCTTGTGCTTTAACCCCTAGGACAATATGGAACTCGTGGGATGTGGGTGGCATGGAAGGACGACCCCTACAGATGGAGGCCCCACTGGGAGACGAAGAAGAAGCAGCCACGAGTTTCTGGAAAGGTAAACCTATGGGGTCACCCTGAAAGGAAAAAGGTTAGCCAGAAGGGTGTATTGGGATTTTGAAATGTAAGTATCTCTGTTCTTGTTCGGAACTGGGAGGCCTATTGAGGTCAATTGACAGTGCTTTTGGAGAAGCACCAGTATTTTAAGGTAGACGGCACCACATGAGAGTTCATTAAGACAGTTTGCTTCTTGAAGTGATATTTTGCCTAATTTTTATGAGAGAATTCAATCCCTGGCTTTGCTAGCACGGGGCTTTAATTTTGGTTGAGGAGAACAGGCTGGACATAGCTAGTGCCCAGCGGGAATCCGTTCCCAAGGCAACAGGGCCAAACGTAGCTGGTGACTAGCAAATAATATAGCCGAGGGCTCATGGAAGTGCGGGCCTCGGGCTGAGAGAGGATTCAAAAGATATGTTTATGAGTTCTATTAAGAGTTTTTGAGTAACAAAAGAACAGCTTCACAGAGCTTGTCTTTCAGGGAGATTAAAAAGCTCCCATGCATGTTTGAATGCGGATCACAGAACCATTCACGGCTCTCACAGCGGCCGAGGCAGCTGACGGTGATGGGGGCACGATGACCTTGCACAAGCCAAGCGGCAACGCAGAAAGGGGAGCGCTGGACACGCGCCCCAAGAGGAAGGCGGAGAGACATGGGCACACAGCCCACGGGAGGCGGCGATAGCCAGGCCTTGATGGTACAAAGGATAGTTAAAAATCCGCTGCCAAAACTCAGATGATAGTTTACAGACAGAGTGGAGCGGGCCTGCGTCCCGCCCCCCTGCTGTGCAGCACAGCTTCGGCAGTTTTAAGTTGGAGACTGTGGTAGATTCAAAGATTCCTTGGTTTTACAAACCCAATAGAGACATAGCTGAGTCTTAAAATGGTTTGTTGCCTAATTTTCTAAAAATCCAAACTGTGCCAGTTTGCATTTCCACCGATGGTGGAAGAGTTTCTCTTAAAATAAGTTATAAGCAATATTTAATCTTGGTCATGTCTTAAGAATAAGATAGAGTCTCAAGAGTTGTTTTGATTCACATTTCTCCAATGATTAAAGATGTTATATGAAAATTTTCAATTTAGGTTTATTGCATATTTGGAGGACTATTTCTGGAGTCCTTATGTTTTTTATATGGATTGATGACTGATAAAGATTTCCAAATCTGTAGCAGGTATGTCTTGATGACTGTTCTGTGCCATACAGGAAGCTTCTCAGTTCTAAAGATCCTATTAATTATTTCTCTAATTTTGGCGGGAGGCAATGTGCCCCCATAAAGATATCAATTTTGATAATGCTATCCAGTTGTGTGAATGCTCACGTACTGGATCAGATAATTATTTTCTGCCCCTGGAAAAGTTCCAGGCGGAATTAATTCTAAAAGATGTTTTGAGGTTGACTATTCAGCCCTATATTTAGGCCGGTTGCTATGGCACAGGCCAATAGAATTTGCTCTTTGGAGCAGAGACCTACAGGTCTCTAAGTTCAAGACCAGCCTACTTCCAGTACTGACTGTGCTGAATTTTTACACTGAGTTTTTTTAGTACTCTTAAATGTTAATTTGGGAGAAGAGTTTTGTTTATGTTTTTTTCTAGGAATGCTGACATGCATCTGGGTACTGTTCATGATGTGGATTCATCTGTCCAGAGGCCTGAGGACAAAGCCTCTGCTATGGAGCTGTCTGACCTGATTGCTGTGGAGCTGGCGGGTTCCTGAAAAATGATCCAGCTCCTACCCTTGTTCTATCAGTTATTGCTGTACTATTACTGCTGTACATTGCTATATTGTTATTGCTGTACAATTGCTGTACTGCTGGATTTCCCCTTGATTTGTCAGTTATTGCTTGCTATCAGTTTTTCTTATCCTGTCAGCTATTTCTGCTGAGCACTATGGGTATCTTCAAGGCAGGTTGCAAAATGCCATGGTTGTTCAAATTAAAAATTGGATACTGAGGTTAATCTTGACAGATTGGATATGGTTTTTTGACCTTTGCTGGTCACAGAATAGGATTTTTACTGTTTTTCATGGTCCCTGAAATACAAAATTTACTAATTGGTTGTCATTTATTCTAGTTAGCTTTCCAGGGACCTTACACCAGTGCTATTGAGACCTTACTTAAAGGGGCTCTATTCTGAGCAGAGTTTTCAGGATTGTGCCAAAGCACAATCTCCTTTGGGAATGCTTATATATGCTGGAGCATGACATTCATGATCTCATGAAGCCGGAGTCAGGACTACTCAGGTCAAGTCCTTTTGGCATTCGCCTCAAAATATCTTTCAGCATAATCTGGCTGGACTCAATGTATGACTAGTAACCAAAGACGGGTAAGGATTGAATGGGAGGAGACTCTGACCTAAGACAGAAAGGTATTTTGACCTGAAATACTTTTTCCACAACGGGTAAAGAGTCTGCCTGGCCATCACCACCTAAGACAAGGTGCTAGTCATCATATTTTATATAAAAGGGGGACTTGTGGGACCCTGTCCTTCCTGATCCTTGAGACCAAAATACTGGATGCAAATAATGTTTACGCTAACCAGCTAAGCTTCCTGCTAGTTCCGTCCTTGGTTCTGCTACAGCCTGGTACATTAGCCTAAGGGATCTATTTTACTTTAAAATGGTAATTTCTCAACCTGCCTCAAAGAAGCTCAGGCACCAAGGCCCATCTAACCTGTCTGACATTGCCTTGAATCCTCGACCACCTGCCTGGGGAAAAACTCCCACAGAGGCCAGTTTCCCCAGCCCCCTCTGGGTGGGAGGAGTTTTCCTTTACTGGGGCCAAAGGTATTTTAACCCTGGATTTAGTTGAATAAAGGGGCATTCTCTTCTTGAGGATGACTGGAACTCTGTATCTGTGTGTGTGCATCTTGTGCTTTAACCCCTAGGACAATATGGAACTCGTGGGATGTGGGTGGCGTGGAAGGACGACCCCTACAGGCAAGAGTTGAAGCATAGCCTGGCTGATCTAGCAAGACCTTGGTTCTCTAAAAAGAAGGCAAACAAAAGAGATGAGCAAACAAACACCAGTATTTGGAAAGCTGAAGGAGAAGGATAATGGTGTTGGGGGCATACTGGTCTACAACACAGCACAATTCTGCCTTGAAGAGTGATGGGGAGGGAGGAGGAGAGGGAAAAGAAAGCTAATTATTAACTACAAGGAAACCCCTCTCTCATCACCCTTGCTAATTAGGATTTGTATATCCTAGCCTGTGGCCTATTAGAGTCTGCTAATTCAAGATTCCCTAATCTTGAATACAATGGCTTGTCCAGACAGAGTCCTTCTGTAGACACTATCAGTATGTTGATCCTTTAATTTGGGGAGCAACTACATTGATAAAATTTTAAAAAGTCTGGATAGTATCTCAGTTCATTAAATGTAAAAGAAACTATTAACTAAGTGGCATTCCCTTCAGAATTTCCCTTTGAATTCAAGTTTAAGGGTAGCTTTGTCGGGTTTGCCAATTTATTTTTGATGGTAGTGGTTTGTGCAAGTGTGGTCCCTGTGTGAGGGTGCATATGCTATTGTGTGCACACATGTGGAGGCCAGAGGTTAATGTCAGGTTTCTTTATCACTTTCTGTTAGCATTCAGGCATTTTGCATTGGCCTACCCTTGGGGACTTAGCAGGACACAGCAGCAGCCAAGATGGGGACACTCTGCACCACTCTCTCTAAGCTCATGTGCTATAAACCCTTATATAAAGCAAGCCCTTCTCACCCTGCTCTCTCTTCCTTCTGCTTTTGCTGAGAGGTCGTCTCTGTACCCTCCCCCCATAAACCTTCCATGTGAGCTCTGTTACGTGGTGTGACTTTGTATTGCCATTTGGCCCCAACCCACCAAGGTTACCTTCCACTATAAAACCATTATAGTTCCCACCTTAACTTTTGAGACAGGATTTCACATTGAACTTGGTGGCCATCACATGGCTAAACTAACCAGCCAGTGAACTCTGGGAATCTTTCTGGCTCTGTACCACTGGCTGTGGGGCTACAGATGATACAGAGTATCATCACACATATATGAGTGCCAAGGATCAAACCAAGCCCTAGGGTTTACATACCCATCACCTTTACCCACCGAGCCATCTTCCCAGCACAAGATCCACCTTTCATGATATAAAATTAAACCAGTCCAATGGATCCATAATCTTTATAAACATCACAGACCTAATCTTTCGTAGGCCTAGTCCTTGAAAATTCCCTCCCCCTAAATATTGGTTGTCTTTACTGACCTTGAATCCAGGTAAGAAAGAACATCCTTATGACCAAATCTCCTTGTTAGAGTGGAGGCACTGGGCTAAATTGCTCTTTAGAAGAAGTTATTCTTAGAATGGTAGCAGCAACACTTTCAGACAGAAGCTGAATAATGGCATGCTTATAAAAGAGAATCCTCCATACCTTATGACAAGAAAAAAAAAGGTACAAACCAGATCTTAAGATTGAAAGATGTTGAGAGCGATTCCTGTCCAGCAAGGGGCACTGATCCTGTAGCAGAAGATCCATCAGATCAGTGAGTGTGCTCCTGACCCGCGGCAGAATCCCAGAAATGGAGAGCAGACTTTTCTGACACCCTTAACTCCTTGGTCATTCTGTAGGGGCTGCTCCACCCTGGTATGCCCTCTCTCCTCCTATCCCAACACAGCTTTCACCCAGGAACCCCTTCCTTTCTTCCTCCCTTCCTCGAGGCCATAAAAACCCCCAGCTCAGCCTGTTTGAGAGGTGGGACAGGGTGTTGAGTGCAACCGGGCAGGCGGGAGTTCCTTTGTTACAATAGCCTGCCACCAGCAAGGTAGGCATTTTGTCAGTGAGGGCCCTGGCCAGCAAGGGGCACTGACCCTGTATGAGAAGATCCATTGGAGAACATTTGAAGAAAGTGATGGGCAAGCACCAAGGCAAAAATTCTTGCAACAATCTGAAAAACAACATGAAAACACCAGAACTCAGCGATCTTACAACAGAAGGACTTGAACACCCTAATCCAGAAGAAGTGGAAAAAATTGACATTACAAAAGCGATAGAGTCCCTTAAACAGGATATGAAAGACTCCCTTAAAGAAATGGAAGAGAAGTATAACAAAAGTTCGAAGAAATGAGTAAATCCATAAATGATACCCTTGGGAAACCAAGGAAAAACAATCAAACAGGTAATGGAAACAGTTCAAGAATTGAAAAGTGAAATGGAGGCAATGAAGAAAACACAAACTGAGGGCCGGCCGGATATGGAAAATCTCGGTAAATGAATAGAGACTACAGAAACAAGCATAACCAATAGAATACAAGAGATAGAAGAACGAATCTCAGATTCTGAAGACACCATAGAGAAAATAAACGAGCTGATCAAAGAAAACAGCAAATCCAACAAATTCTCATCACAAAACATTCAGGAAATCTGGGACACAATAAAAAGACCAAACCTAAGAATAATAGGGGTAGAAGAAGGAGAAGAATTGCAGATCAAAGGCCCAGAAAATATATTTAACAAAATTATAGAAGAAAACTTTCCCAACCTAAAGAATGATATTCCTATGAAGGTTCAAGAAGCATAGAGAACACTGAATTGATTGGATCAAAAAAAACCCATCCCCTCACCATATAATAATCAAAACACAAAAGATTCAGATTAAAGAAAGAATATTAAGAGTTGCAAAGGAAAAAGCTCAAGTAACTTATAAAGGTAAACCTATCAGACGTACACTGGACTTCTCTATGGAAACCATAAAAGCCAGAAGGTCCTGGATAGAGGTACTGCAGAAACTAAGAGACCATGGATGCAAGCACAGACTACTATACCTAGCCAAGCTATCAATGGATAAAACAAAAATATTCCAGGATAAAAACAAACTTAAACAATATGTAGCGACAAATCCAGGCTTACAGAAAGCATTAGAAGGAAAATCACAACCCAAGGAATCCAACATTGCCAACACTGCCTCCAATAACTCAGACATCTAGCAACCCTTCACAAGCACAACTCAAAGAAGGGAAACCCACAAACTCTATTACCCCCCCCCAAAAAATAAATAAAAAAATAACTGGAGTCAACAACCACTGGTCATTAATATCACTTAATATCAATGGACTCAATTCACCTATAAAAAGTCACAGACTAAGAGATTGGATATTAAAATAGAATCCAACATTCTGCTGTTCACAAGAAACACACCTCAACCACAAAGACAGACATCTACTCAGAGTAAAGGGTTGGGAAAAGATTTTTCAAGCAAACGGCCCTAAGAAACAAGCAGGTGTGGCCGTTCTAATTTCTAACAAAATTGACTTCAAACTAAAATTAATCAGAAGAGATGGAGATTGACATTTTATACTCATAACAGGAACAATTCATCAGGAGGAAGTCTCAATCCTGAATATCTATGCCTCCAATATAAAAGCACCCACTTATGTAAAAGAAACACTTCTAGAACACAAGGCAGTCATCAAACCACACAAACTAATAGTAGGAGACTTCAATACACCTCTCTCACCAATGGACAGGTCAATCAGACAGAAACCTAACAGAGAAACAAGAATATTAATAGAGATAATGAATCAAATGGACTTAACAGACATCTATAGAACATTCCACCCAAATAGGAAAGAATATACCTTCTTCTCTGCAGCTCATGGAACCTTCTCGAAAATTGACCACATACATGATAACAAAGCGAACTTCCACAGATACAAAAAAATATTAGTAACCACCTGTGTCTTGTCGGATCGCCATGGATTAAAGTTAGAATTCAACAACAATGCTACCCCCAGAATGCCTACAAACTCATTTAAGATGAACAGTCAACTACTGAATCACCCCTGGGTCAAGGAAGAAATAAAGAAAGAAGTTAAAATCTTCCTTGAATATAATGAAAGTAAAGACACAACGTACTCAATCCTATGGGACACTATGAAAGCAGTGATAAGAGGAAAGTTCATAGCACTAAGTGCCCACATAAAGAAAACAGAGAAAGCACACATTGGAGATTTAACAGCACACCTGAAAGCTCTAGAAAAAAAAAAGCAGACTCACCCAGGAGGAGTAGAAGCCTGGAAATAATCAAATTGACAGCTGAAATCAACAAAATAGAAAGACAGAAAACAATCCAAAGGATCAATGAAACAAAAAGCTGGTTCTTGGAGAAAATCAACAAGATTGAAAAACCCCTATCCAAACTAATCAAACGGCAGAGAGAGAACAAGGAAATTAATGAGATCAGAAATGAAAAGGGGGACATAACTACAGACACAGCGGTAATTTAGAGAATCATTAGATCTTACTACAAAAGTCTATATGCCACAAAATTGGAAAATGTAAAAGAAATGGACATATTTTTAGA